GCGGCCTAACAATTTGCTTGTCTAGGGTGGACAAGGATGGAGCATGATTCCTCGCCAGTTCTTGCAAAGGCTGTGGTCTCCCTTCTTTGGAAGTTTGACAAGGTAACCCTTTTTCCAATCAATGGGTAGGTACATTTCCTTCATTCCTTCCTTCTGCAGTAGTGGTATTAGCATGTCCGCTGTCATCTCTGTGTCTGTTTTTAGTGCTTCTGGCAGAATTCCATCTCGTCCTGCTGCTTTCCCGCATTTCAGCAGCTTTATGGTGTTCAGGACTTCACTCCTGCTTTTGTCAGAGGGCTTGTGTTCACTGGTGATTGTAGCTTGGCTGCTGGTGGTATTTCTGGACGAGATGCAGGTGGTGGTGGTGGTCGATTCAAGAGCTTTTTGAAGTGGTCAGCCCATCGTTCTTTTTCTTCCTCCTCTTTAGTAACTAGGTTTCCCTCACTATCTTTCATTGGTTTCACCTACGTTGATCTCTTCTCTCCCAGACAGTAACCTGGTTATTTGATATAATGTTGTCAGATGTCTATCTCTCCTACCTGCAGCTTGTTCTGCTTCACTTGCCGATGTGTCGTAGAAGTGTCTTTTGTCTTTCCACCCACTCTTCTTCACTTCTTTGTCCAATGTAGTGTTTTATACATTGTACTCAGTTCCTCTTTTCGTTGTTCATTCTTGCACTGGTTTATCTTCTCCTTCATCATCTTCCTCTCCTCTCTCAGCCTCTATGTGTCTGTCGAGATCCATTCCTTGTCTCCTTTCTTCTTCCTTCCTAATACGGTTATGGAGGTTTTCTTCCACATCTCTTCCAAAGAGTTCCAGTGTTCTTCCATGCCCGATCCTTCAGAGATGTTCCCTAATGTCTCCCATTTTGTCATGATGGCTGGCTGTTGTGAAGATGTCCTTTGTAGTTTCGTCCTACAGTTCAGTTTCTGTTCTAGGTGTTGAACTCCAACTGTGGTCTATCACCAACTTTTTTGAAGGCTTTCAACTTGATTTTGCAGGTAGGTTCCTTGCACTAGATAGTGAGTGGTGTGGACCTACATCTGCTCCTCTTCGTGATTTGATCTTGTCTCGAGTAGGCTGCGTCTCTACTTTCTTGAGAATGAGATGAAGTCGACCTGATTTCTAGTGTCCATCTGGTTACCAGTGCCCAAGTTTTACCCTTATATTATCTTATTAGCAGTTTTTAGGACTGGTTGAGGACACAAAGGCATATTTACCAGTGCTCAACATAATCTGCATTTCTTGACTTACTGACAGTTTTTAACCACCCTGACCGCGATTTTTTGACAGTATTCACTAAAACAGGATCAAGTAAATACATCGCCTCACTAGCAGTTATATACTGGAATATACGAGGTCCTTTCAAGAGCCCATAGTATCTACGTTAAGTGGTGTACGTCAATGATATCTACTTTAAACTCGATATGACAATTCCAGGAGCATCAAAGAAAATCTTCCTCTTCATCGGCCCCATAGCAGACTCTTTAGTTACCTTAGAGTGGATAGACCAAAGTCTTATTGAATGGAGACGTGATAAGTCTTCCGAAAACCTTGAAATATAATTTGGAAAGGTTTAAAATGCGTTTATTGCCTCCTGGGTGCAAATTATTGCTTCAATTCTAATATTTATTGCCTTTTACCATTGAGATTAAACCACTTACACTTAAGACAACTTTTTATTGTGACCATCATTGGTCAGTCAAGCCGGAAGACCACCAATCCAAACCTCCTAGAACCTCACTGCCAATTTTAGATTGGAGCTTTCAATCTTCCAACCCATGGTAAGTTGGACAATGGATCTTACAAATCAGAACTCCGGAATATCAGGCAGTGAATGTGTTACACTTCTGAAATACATATGTGGGACTCAAGTGTGGTTATTCACGACCTCGTCAACGAAATCATTCTAGCAAGTGTCATGAAATCTGGTAGCTAGTAATCGTGGGCTCTTTAGTCAAGAGATAACATCAAGTCATAGATTAGAAAGCCTATTTCGCAACTGAAAACGGGTTAGCAACCATTTATTTGGGTGAATGAATCCGTGACAACTAGAGGTTAACGTGACACTCATTGATGCTTATTTTAGATTTCCTAATAATGCTCACTGAATGCAGCTCGGATGATATGAAAGACGATGTCCACCGAAAACTATCACTTTTGCTACAAAAGGAAAAAACAGATGGAATCGTACTATAAGGTGACTTGAACACTGAAGTAGGGTGGTACTGTCAATCAGAAAGTTAGCTTGAAGGTATCCATAGTATTCAATGCTCCAAGCAAACAACAGATAGGTCACCCTGCTATAAGCAACCACTAGAGGTTTTTTGACTCACTGAACACCTGCTTGAACACCCAAGTAGAACAACCACGTGTCTGGACCTTGATCAACTCAGGAAATAAAAAACTAGAGAACTTTCTATTTGACTACAAGAGAATAAATGTACATTACAGCAAGGGGTAACTAGGCACACAGAAGAATTCTTGATGCTGACTACACTGCAATATCTACTGATTTAGAAATAACAGTATTGACTGTCAGTAATCTGAACCCAAATGTTAATAAGAGCTGGTGGAGTTTTATAGATCCATCTGAACTGATACATATGAGAAGACCCATTCTAGTTCAATCTCATTAAGATGAAAAGCGAAAATAGCTTAAAGTTGAACTGCGTAAAAGTAGTTGTAGTGAATGAGAGCAGTAGCGAGTGGCGGAAGAAAAGGCGATGCAGGTGGTAGTCTGCATTTGTTTATGCTTATTAATGATTAGGGGAAAAGAATAGGCTACTGGAATGTTTGGTGGAACAAGTAAGGACAGTTCCAGTGACTTACACGCTTCACCACTTCAAAGTAAAATCTCAACCTAAATGGGGTGTTAGTATTGATCTTCTAACTAGTATCGAAGTTGAAAAAAGTTGTTTCAAACGTGAAACGAAATAACGCAACAGGACTTGATGGATGACTGTCGATAATTGTTAATTAAAGCCAAGAAGGTACCAACCAGTGCATAGGAATCCAAGGTATTCCTCTCAGACGGGTCTTAAATCCCCGGTCACTGCAGTATATGGTACGAAATATTCTCTTGACCTCCACAGTTGAATAAGTTTATTCGCTGATATGGTGTCTTAAATTCATGGGTTTACGTTTATTTGACAGAGTACTGGAGCTCAAGAACAACATATTGGAAAAAGCCAAGAGGGTTTCAAACCCGAATCAGAATTGAGTAACCAGACATTCAACTTGTAAAAGTTGTGGAACACAGATACATCTAGCCCCAAAACTTCCCAGCTAGGTTGATAGTATATGACTGTAAAGAGAGTACCGAACAAGCATGTCATGTCAACTGTTACCATTCTTATTTAGCTTTTTCTAGATAAATTGACGCTTATGAATCCTTAACCCTTAGTGGTAGCTACATGAGGACACGCCACCAATCCATGGAGATTTTGAGTGATCCATGCAGTATGCTTGGTTGGAACGATCATGATGTTATAATTTTTCAAATCTGGGACATCTACCTATCGTTACTAGTGTCGTAATTCTAATATACTTCGATATCATTCTTCTATTAGCTTCCCTTTTGTGCGGTTGTGAACCGAACTGATACACTTCTGTATGAGGTTTTACATTGATACATATATCATATTGCTTGTTAATAAGGAGTGAAGTGCTTAAACGCCTTAACCGACTCGTGCATCGGTGAAGTTACGTCAGTTTTTGTAGGACGAGCCCAACAAAATCTTGGTGCGAATACAAATGACCCAACTGTCTTTAACAAAATTGCATCACCTACGACGCCAATAAGACACGTGATTGAGTCTCAAAGGTCAAAAAACTGTGCAGCAGTTTTTTCTGACACGAGAGATTCAGCCATGTGACCAGTTTTCAAAGCAATGAAAGCGCGTAATGAGACTGTTCAGTGAGTAACACGAAGGCTAGGTGTGGTTGGAAGTAAAAGATGCAAGTCAGTTGATGAACGATGACGATGTTTGGTGTACTCGAAGCTTCATCATTTTGTCATGTACGTTTTACAAGAGGGCTTGGGGAGTTTCGCTTTTCCATGAAGTTAGTGTTGATGTCACCAAGCGTGGCGATAAAACACCCACGAAAAAATACTAAAGTACATGGAACATCAGACCATCGTTATTTTCAAACTGAACCGAAAATCTCTATAAGTCGATACGGTTGTAAAACATTTACAGATGAGATGACTCATTTTAATCCACTGCTGACTCCAAAACACAGTCAATGGGAGTAGGATTGCATCGAAAAACACTAAGGGTGATCGTAACAATTTATAAAGTCGCCAGCTGTTGGGTTGTGTAGAAAATGCCAACTTCCTAATTTTAGATGAGAACCGAAGACAATGGATGCAGAACGATAGTGATACGGCTCAGAATCGACTGCAGAGATTTATTCGAAGTGTAATATATTACTTAACCCAACCACTCCATCTTAGCGCTTTATATTGTCTCTGAGGTCAATTTTTTCATCCTCTTCTCAACAGATCCTATCTTGTTATAGTAATCCAAAGTTACGGTTTATTCGCTAAAATAACTGAGGTTTGAACAGTTCCATTTATTTTGACTTAGGCAGATAAGAGCTACACCTCAAAAACTAGTGTAGCCAAGCCTAGACTATCTTACTGGGTTGAGTTGCACAAACAACTAACAAACTTCGACTACTACGCACCAACAATCTATCGTATTTCAACCTCCACATGTGAATATACAACTGAGCCAATCAACGCTGTAAACAAGGCTGTAATTCAGGTTGTCTCTACGCATAACTCAATTGTGCCTGAATCTTAGGGTGATGACCCTAACACTGCTATGCAGCTTATGGGTGGTAGAATTAAGCTACTTGAAATAAAATCACAATTAAATTCATGTATGACTGTATCACACCTGACTTTTTTATCGGGGTTTACTACATCCCATGAAATAATTTTTTAAATGCACATAAATCTAGTGTTTGGACAAAGATGAAGGGTCACGTACCTGAAAGGGTGAGATCACGAGACAGGAATCTACCTTGAAAAATAAGTTTCAGATGGTTAGATTTCGGCTTCTTCCCCAAGCCTGAAAGAATATCGTCAACCAAACAGTAACTCACTGTCAGGCCATTCTCTGAATAGAGAACTGGTTATCTGCTCAACTGTAATATTTTCTTCATAATTATGGTCGTAGTAGGATCCATCAGGCATAAGTAATTTTAGGTGCACCTGAAAAGATGTCATACACTTCGAATTGTTTTAGTTACTGTCATTATCAGCTACTATGGTTCCCAGTAAATATACAGAGTCCCGATTTCTGTACAGACTTCATCAAACTCTTATATATTGGTGGGAGACAAACGCTAGACACCAAGCAAACAAATCGGAAAAATGACCTAGACGAGACAAAATTCCCCCGTATTTCTTAAAACGCCCAAAAACCGAAAAATTGAAAAAACGGTGGGACCATATTAGATAGTACTCTAAGACCTCTATTGACCATCACGAAAGCGATGTACAAAATAATATTTAATACGTTTTGTTTTAAATCCTAAAAATGGAAATCTTAGTAGACGACCATATCAGGGAGTACCTGGAAAAGGAGAGAGCACTAAGTGGTGCTCAACATGGTTTCAGAAAGGGTATGTCCTGGACCCCGAACGTTCTGGCTGACGGTGATAAGTGTACAGTATTTTGAGACTCCAAAATTCCTGTTCATGTTATTTTCCTAGATTTTGATAAATCCTTTGACGCAGTCCCACACACCATTGTTATTCGCGAAATATCAAGGTTGGGCATCAGGGATCAAGCGTTTTCCCGGCTACATGACTATTTGTACGGAAGACAGTCCTGCGCAAAAGCCAACAGGGTTTGCTCGACCCGAAGGACATCATCATCTGGTGTATCACAAGAAGCGAGTATCGGTCCGCTGCAATTCCTTCTTCTTGTGAACAACCTTCCATTGAATCTCAGCTGCCCAACTCTACATTACGCCGGCAACGCTGACTTATGAAGAGCTGTGACATCCGAAGCAGAATCTGTTGCATGTCAAAGTGATCTTGCCAAGTGGGTGGATATTAACAGACCAGCATTTAATCTGGATAGGTGCCAAACCATGTTTCTCCGCTCCCCTGACTCTCAGAAGTACCCTGTCCTCTCTGTGGGGCACAAACTTCCCACACCACCACGAAGAACAATCTAGGACTATTACTCACCGACAAGATAGACACCAGCTCCACTTATCCATGAGATGCTTCCAGAGCCTACGCAGTACTGCACTCCATGCGCAGACAACTAGACTCTCTCCATCCGGGACTCTTCCTGAAGCTGTAAAAGGACCAAGTACGACCTCACTTAGAGGTCCACAACGTCATTGCACCAACATACAGAAAAGAAGTGTGACCCTGCTGAAGAAAGTCCAGGGTCGGGCAACAAAAGGTGCCTTGGCACTGAGGCAAAACCCCTGGCAGGATAGGCCGAAAAATCTGGGACACTACGCCCTTAGCTGCGTAGATCATGTGGTGACTTGATAACGGCTTATAAAATACTAAGTAATCCAACCCGTCTGGACAATAGAGCCCTACCGAACGGCCACTGCGGCAGTTCCCATGGGAACCCAAGGACAGTCAACCACCAAAGGGCCAGGATCCGTGTGTGTTCATACTTCATTTCTCTGCTAGCTCGCCGCCACGGAGCTCCTGGCATGCAGAGACTGCCACTCCTCCATCTGCCGACAGCTTCAAGAACAGGCTGGACAGTTACGCAGTGACGCACGGTTGCGATACAACCCACTAACTCCGCGCAACTCAGCACGGCTAACCCATCGCTGAATCCTTTGTAACTCCTCTATCATCGCGAACCCGGCTCAACCCTACACTTCCCGGTAGACATTTTCTCCAGTTACCACCTACTAATAGCATTACTATCTCCGTCCCCATAAGCCATCCTATAATGTTATTTGCTCCTTCTCTTCCTACTGACTTTGTGTTCTCACACTATTTAAAGAAAGCTCTCCAAATCATCCCTTTCACATCAATCTACCTAGGTTTCTTCATCCGTTCCGTATCCCTTCACCTAGTCGTCTTTTCTTTTCTGTCCTTTTTCTTCCCACTTCCTCGTCTTTGGTTTATCTGGACACATTTTCTATCTTCTTTTTCAGCCAGTCTGACCAACCGTCTACTGGCACGACACTTGTGGAACACATCTTCATCAGTCTTTGAAAAAAAGTCACTCCCCACAAACTTAACCAACACCAAACCACCTGTCGGGCTAACCAGAGCTATAGCAGTTGGGTGGGTAGACCTGCATCGGAATCCCCTAAAGACCTAGTAGCGAGTGCAAAGAAATCAACTGGTTTACATTAGCTCGTAAAAAGATGGTAGATAATGGATTTCTCGGCGGAAAATCGTACGCCTTTCAAAACTTGATCTGGGAACGACTACGGTCGTCTATTGCACACGAGGGATGAATGGACAGCATGCGATGGTTTTAGGTAGACCATGACCACCTATACCTAAAGTGGTAGCATTCGGAAAAACATCGTGGAGTAAAATGGAACATTTTAGCTTTGGAACGCACCTCGGACTTCCTGCTAATACGGTAGTTACCTACTTTAAGCCGTATAATTCCTAGTGCACTTCATATTCCGTAAGCAGACAGAATCGGAAACATTCGCACTTGTGCAACGTTATACCGTGAGTATGTAAAAATGGGTGCCGGTTCCAGATATTAATGGAAAGACCAGGGTCAAAATGATTGTTAACATGTTTAAATTCCCAAACCTCCCCTAAAGTAAGCTTTGCTATAGCCCGACTCTGAGATTATGCCCTAGAAATTACTTCCGTCATCTTTAACTCAGGTTTCAGGCTAAAATCCTTCTACGATATCTCCATTAAGTTCATGGAAACTGCATGTTCGACCGTCAATAGATCAGGCGAATTATTGGCAACACTTCAGTTCATTGATGTAAAGACATAACAAACGTGCAGTAGTGGATTATGGAATTTGTGCGAAATTTATATCCGGTAATCCGTAAGAACATACTGAATTGTAATTTATAACAGCCACACGGTCCAAATATACATTACCTACGTGTGCCATGGATGTTTTTCTAAAACCGTAGGAGGATCTATGCGGCTCTGGTGGGAAAAATGATTTGGAAGTCATTTCTGAGCACCCTATTCGACATTATTGATATTCACTTGAATACTTTCTCCCTGTCCGTGGTTATTTCTTTCCCACCCGTTCTCACCCATCATCCAATTACATTTCCCCAAATGATGCAGTAAAATGTGGAATCCCATTTGAAGACTCCTGTACCATTTCGCCGCTACATTCCAGGTGGTTGTCCACTTCATAACTTCGGCGTGTCATGAAGATTGCTGTCCCGGAAATATTCAGCTCAGCCCAGTGAAACCGGAAACTCACGTTTCAGTAGTTAAATGTTTGCATCTAAATCGGGAACGCCATGTTGAGGACGTATACTCAACTTTCGTTCCTTCACGCATTCAGAGTAAATGTTTACCTTACATGAACCCGGTTTTATCCAAGTTTAAGGCCCTCAGTGTACTGTGTAACTAATGCATTAAAGCTTAGGTCTTGTTTACTTTATTGAGAAAGTTAGCTACAACTCAAACCGTATTCAAGGTTTAAGTAGGTTATCATCACCTAAGCCCAAAAATTAACCACATTACTTTGCACTCATCCGCATTATGCTCGATGAACAACGTTAGTGTTAACAAGACAGCAGGTATGGTTGTTATCACGTACTATAATATTTGGTTGCCGTTAAACGTCACTTATCTATATGATTCTTTTGTGCCAGGAAGTATATGGCCAGCCTAACCTGCCTCAACGAGATTCACTTGGCTGCGTGCTTCCTCTCCCCATGTTTTATATTTTCATTCGCCAGCTCTACCAGCTGGGACAACGCTGAGATTGTTGTTGGAGCGCGTGGGAGTCCCGTTGTTTCTAAGTTGGAGGTCAGTAGAAGCCTAGATCTTGGTGCTTGAAAGAATTTAAGCCACACTCAGTTAATAGACACTGCGATACAGATTCCTGAGACTGACGCTCATTTTGACGGATTTTTGTTATGCGCTACATTTTTTTCACAAGTAAGAAGTGAACAAATCGATGGTAATGTGCACTTAGAATAATAAAAAACTATAAACACCTTTGAGTCCAGCCATTTCTGCTCGTCACCCATGGTAAACGGCTATTCCCCTGTTCTCTTCTTGCATCTTCCTGGTTATTCATGTCCCCACCCAAGGTGCACACTTCCGGAAATTTTAGTACCTGTATTCTTAGGATCTCGCTGTAGATCATACAGAGGCATGAGAGCATAATAAAAATTCCGTGAAGTGAAAGTGTGCAAAATTTCGGAATAAGCCATTACGCTTCATTGGCTCAGTACCACTTTTTTCAGACTACGGAAGGTTTTCAAGTGAGTAGAATTATATCCCTCAGTGGCCACACAAATGTTCAGTGCATATAGGAGATATGGCCATTAATGGGGCTTTGTCATACGGTAATTTCTTTCATCGCTCCCAGTAATATAAGATGTCCATAGAGTATGCTATCGAGGGAACACAAATGCTTGGCCAGTCTCACTGGCCCAAATATGTACCACTCTTCGGCGGCAAATACAACAAATGTGACCGCCTATCTTACGCTGGAGGTAGTCATCTCCACTGAAATGTTTTTTCCTTTGAACATAGTCACTGAAAGAGCCGCTGCCACTCGTGTAGTTGGTATGATCCAGTAGTTTATTACTCCTCGAGAAGAGTGCCACCCAGTCCGAAGATGATCAGACTGAAACTCTTGGATCTTTTCCTAATGATCTCGCAGATGATCAGTCCCAGTGGGAACAAAGCAGCTAGACAAACTCATACCGAAATCCACGTCGAAGATACGGTAAACAAGTGCCAACTTGCTTCATATTTGAGCACACAGCAAGGGGAAATCCTCAGCATTGCTTACAGCTGTTTATGGGTAAGGTGCTCAACAACCGCCATCTACTGGAATCTTGCCGTTTAGACCTGTTTCAATGTGTCAGTTTTCCTGGGCATGTACTAAAAGTCCTAAGGTGCTCGGATTGAGCCCAACCTATGTAGGCTTTGTAATCCCAGATATATATATGTATACATATTCTTCAACTCTTTGGAGGGTTTCACGAAGAGACTAAAAATCCCGAAAACTATTCACAGTTACCACCCCATACTTAGTGAAGTTGGTTTACAGTTTTCGCCTTGTGGGTAAATCTGTCTAAACATTC